GACAGAGCCCAGTGCAGAGCCACTGAGATGATGGGAACTGGAGCATCTCCCACACGAGGAGAGGCTGAGAGAGCTGGGGCTGTTCAGCCTGGAGGAGACTGAGGGGATCTCATCAATGCTCATCAGTATCTCAAGGGTGGGGGTCAGGAGGGTGGGACCAGACTCTGCTGGGTTGTACCCAATGACAGGACAAGGGGTGGTGGTCACAAACTGGAACATGTCAGGTGCAACCTAAGGACAAACTTTGTCAGTGTGAGGGTGCCAAAGCCCTGGCCCAGGCTGCCCAGAGAGGTTGTGGAGTCTCCTTGTCTGGAGACACCCAAAGCCCTGGCCGCGTTCCTGTGTGACTGCTCTGGTGACCCTGCTCTGGCAGGGGTTCCACTGGGGGAGCTCCAGAGGACCCTTCCCACCCCACCACGCTGTGACTCTGTGGTCAGTGAGAAAGGACCCACCATTGTCAGTCAGACCCAGCTTTCTCCTAAACACTTCAAGCTCACATGTAGACATGAATTAATTCAGATGTTCTCGGTATGAGTATTGCATGCATACATTAATCATTGCTATGATTTCTTATCATCATACGCTGCATTAGCTTTTGGCTGTCATACATTGACAGAAGACTGCGAGATTGGCCGGTACTGCAAAACCACTGCTGTCCAAGTTACAACATCACATCTCAAAACACACTTGCATTTTTTAATAACAGAATTTTCTTGTAACAAGGCTGATAGCTGAGAAATTAGATTTCATGACTGAAGACAATTAATGTAAATTCCATTTTACTTAATATTCAACCATAAAGCAAGGAAATAATTCACACAAACAGCTGCCTAACAGCACACTGATTTATCTCTGTATGCTTTAAATGGCTTAAATTTCTTCTTCTCGTATAGCAAAAAGTCCTGCTGAGGGTACCCCAAGAAGACCTGTTTTATCTGTCAGTGCAAGAAAACTTAAAGATAATGCAGCAGACTGGCATAATTTAATGATGAAATGGGAGAGGCTGAATGATAACGGGTTTACTACGGCAAACAAAATAGTCAACATGAAGATCAGCGAGCAGTAAGTATGCTAATAACACGTACAAGTAAAGACAGCACACAGATTGCCTTCACTGAGAAATTAATCTGTTTTCTTCACTAGAAAGTTCTTTTTGGAGATAGGGGGAAAAACTTCTCAGAGTGGACAAGGCAGCTCTTAGATCAAACTCAGCACTTGCACTTTTTGGTTACAAAACTATTTACATTCAGGTAATAAATGTCTCTTTTGCTTTCCCTATTAAACTGTCTTTATCTCAACCCCTAAGTTTTCTCACTTTTACTCTTCTTATTCTCTTTCCCATCCCACTGGGGAGTTAGAGCAAGGGGCTGTGTGGCTTAGTTGCCAGCTGGGGTTAAAGCACAACAAATGGGAAATGTTTATTAGACATAGTTAAGTATAGTGGATGTTTAAAATACTTATATCATATACAAAGTTACAATCTAATCCTATAGATCTCAGCCCATGTAAGTTCCCTTACTCTCTTGCATATTTACTCTGAGGCCAGTATTAACGACTTTCACTGAGGTAAAATTTCAGTAGGTTTTAATGAATCAGTGATTTACGTAGACAAAATATTATGACAGTGATGATTTACAAAAAACCAAACCCTAAAAAACCCCACCACTTTGGCAGAGCTGTTGCCTTCATGCTGTAAAGAAAAACCTATAACTAACAGGTTAGTTTTGAGGAGAAACTTCTCCAGAGTCCTGACCGTAGACAAAATATTATGACAGTGATGATTTACAAAAAACCAAACCCTAAAAAACCCCACCACTTTGGCAGAGCTGTTGCCTTCATGCTGTAAAGAAAAACCTATAACTAACAGGGTTTTGAGGAGAAACTTCTCCATAGTCCTGACAGCTGAGCAGGGTTTGTCTGACAGGGCTCTGACAGGTACAAGCTGAGGAATATTTTGCTGTAATGGTGTCAGGTGTTGATTTGGCTCGCTAGCAGCTCCCTCTTCCTTGAGTTTACAGCTTCAGCGGTAAAGCCAGCAAGACAGGACAGGTGTCTGCACATGATAGATGTCTGCTCTGGGGTCACAGGTAACTGTTGTAGCTTAAATTATGCAGATTGTCACCTGGAGCAGCTGAAGCCTGAGCACACCTTGTCAGTTATGAGAGATTAACCTCCAACACAGAGGCAAGGGAAAATGGGAAGAGGTGTTATCTTAACACCTAAAATTGATTTTTCTAGCACATGCTCCACAGTAGAGTAATTCCATGTTCCTCTGAAGATCGTGGTACCAGCCCCAGTTGCTCACATGACTGGCTATGTCTCTTACTGGTTTGATGTAGGAATTCTCAAGAACAGCCTGTGAGAGATTTTTTAGGAGCAGATCACATGGATTTTAAATAGCACAGCTCGAGTAAACCTGTGTACAGTTGTTTAGTGTGCCGTATGTTTTTATTTTAGATTTCAAGACAGCGAACTGGAGATAGCGTGTGATAACAGTGCCACAGAGTCTGAAAAGCCAGCTCCAAAATACAATGAAGAACTAGACAACTGCTGTGCAGAGTTACTTGAGACCTTAAAGCATATGGTAACGCTCATTTTTCAGTCTTAGTCAGTATAAATCAATTCCAAGTGTGTTCAAGTATGACATAAGTATTTGTTGTGAACAGATAATTGGGATTTTAAGTCATAGTTTTCTGGCTTCACACCTAATTGATCATAAATCCAGTGTGCACCATTTATTTGCCTGATTGGTAAATGTGAACGTTGGTTTTACATCTGCCTTCTGCTTATAATTTGACTCCTCCCTTTATAAAGTGATCTTCTGAAAATGAGTAGTACAAAAATGCTTACTAAAACTGCACCTGTTTTTTGTTTTCTCATCCCGAATATTCCCTCTGGTTAGGACAAAACAAACAACAAAGCCTAAAGCAGTGCGTTACCTGCCATCAGGTCCTTGTGTCTATCTTTGATCAGACATAATGCGGTTATATTTTTGGTTTCCCTACCTGCATTTTCTGTGCAGAACTCCTTCTCTAGAGAGTAAAGATAATTATTGTGTAACCCACCTTTTTTCTGGAGCCATTGCTAGGGATTAATGTCACCTGTCAGTCCGACAGGAAACAAAAAGAAGGTTTTTTGCCTTATACTGTAATTTAAAACTCTTATTATTAATAACTTACACAGCCTTCTGCCATAGCAGAGGCCCATTAAAAAGATGATAGTTTATATTTTTCTATAGGCAGGATACCAGTCCAGTATTATTAGTAAAGCACAAAGTCAGATGAACATGAAGGAGGTGGATGGAGTGACCTGGTTTTCGAAGCAAGCTGTTACATCAGTCGAGATATATTCTTAGGCATAGCTTCAGCTGCTTTTCTCACCTGCTGCTGATCTGTTGGAATCAAATTTAAGTCATCTTGTCATGAAAAAGCATGTGTTTATAGGGCTTGTACTGCACTTGTTCATAGGCAGCCTGATGTTTTTCCCCAGTTGCTATAGGAAAACCCCAGGAAGAGGTTAAAAATGAGTGCACTTTAATGTATTTCTACATGAGGAAAACAGAAGGATTATGCAAAATCTGAGTTAGTAAGTCATATCTGCAGTGTTTAGAATTTTAGGGTAACTCATACTAAATCTGTAATCATATTAAAGAATACCAGCTTGGATGCTTTTCTGGAGTTTAAAAAGGTGAGTTAGAAGTGCCAAGACTCAATATACTTCAGAAATAGTGTGGTTTAAAAAAATGTGGGCGATTATGGTAGCCAAATGTTCCCAAGATGTTGATTAACGTGACACGTTCATCGTTTTCAGAGAAAAATACAGCAGAAAATGGAAAAGCTTACTTCGACTACGAAAGCGATCTGTGACCTGGAAGCTTTCCACCGTGGAGCTGGGCATTGCACAGCACCCTTCTTTCATACATGGCCCACGCCGTACTTCTGTAAGTACAATATTGATTCTCTCAGCTAATTGCATTGTGCCGTTGATGTCATCTAATTTCGGACTGGAAAAGAAACCCTTTTATCTGGATGCCTTGCCTCAGAAAGGGTGTATCTGTCTGCTTTGTAACTGACTGATCAATAAACACATGAAAGCACCGCTTGGCTTGGGGTTACTGCTGATGAGTGCTCGTATGAATTGCCTGACGTGCAACAATTACAGCATAAAACTGAGCTTGTCAGCAGCTCACAGTGACCAAGCTGCAACAGCCGCATCCTGTGTAGGGAGAGGTGTATTTGCAACTTGGTAGTGCTAAGCCAGAGGCTTAACTGACTTGACATGTTGCTTGATGTTGAAATGAAATCCGTGGATGCAGAGAACAAGCTGTACCTCACTTAATTCTCAGGCAGGCAAAGGAAAATTCCTCTGATCTCTGTGTCAGTCAAGACAAGTACAGAAATGTTCTGTTACTCTCTACTGTTAGTATCGATCCTTTTAGCGTTCACTTGACGGCAAAAGGTACCACCTGCCAACGTGTATTACCGCAGTTTTAAAGCAGTTTGAATTCAAGAGAAGCCTCATTGCACGCAAACCAACTGTGGAGTGAAAATCAGACCTTTGTGAAGCCCTGCTTTTTATTTCACTACCAAAACTTAGTGGGAATGTAATGTATTCATTTCTTCCAGCTTAAAAGGGTGAGAATGACAAAGACAACGGCTGTCACAGCGGTTGTTGTGACTGAATCATTTAGTGATGCTCTCCATGAAAGACTAAATCTTCCTGAAGGCAGTGATAGTTCAGGCTAAGTCAGAAACACAGGATCTCTCATTAAAAATGACTTGTGTGGTTATTTCTCAGAAAGTCAAACAATTAAAGATTATTACATAAATATATCTTAAGCTCCCCTACCTGTATTACAAACATCACTAGTAAAAATATTGCTTTACACAATTCAGTTTTGGTCTGTTGAGGTTTTTTTTTACTGCTGCTTTTCACCATTGGTATCACGTATTGGTGAGCACGCATTGCTGAAGTTCCTGCCAGCATGACATCCTTTCGACAGGCTAAATTAACAGTGATTTCTAAAACGTGAAGGTTGTATTTCTAGATAGCATTACCAAATTTTAAAAATAAAATTTCGGTTATTTGGAAGAATAACTATAATCACTAATTTTACAGTGGGTCCTGAGAACCACTGCTTATTCTAGAATCAAAAGTGGGTTCATGTCAAAATCAGAAGAGCATAAAATATATCCAAAAGCTGAGGAAATTTAGTGTTTTATATTCTAGTGTACAAACATTAGTAATGCTGTAAAAACCCAGATGTCTAAATACGGGAATAGCTTATGTAAGGTGAGGGGTTTTTAATGAACAAACTACAAGTATAATTTAAATTTTAGAGAATTGCTGGTCAATGTGCTTGGTTTTTCAACCCATTCCAGATGAGGTTGCCCTGAAGCTCTCTGAAATGTACAAGAAGGAGCTGCAGCTCAAGCAAACGATCGTACAAGAAATTGCTCATTGTGCTGACAGGGATCTGATGATGGTTTATTTATCGTCGTGGTTGTACCAGCCTTACATCGACAACAGCAGCAAACTGCTCCTTGAAGCCATGCTGCTGGAAACAGGACACAGACAGTGCTAGAATTCCAGATGTTACGTGGCTTGCTTTCCAAAACTGAACTGGCAAATTGCAAGGCTTACCAAGTAAGTTGAATTTTTGTAAAAACTTATTAAAAATATTTTTCTCTATTTGTATTTATTATTTTACCTCAGCTGATGCTCCTCATTCTGCGTGGGGCAGTCTGGTTTTGGTTGCTTTATCCACTTTAAGTGCAACAGAGAGGCTCCAAGTAGGAGGCTGAGTCCCTATCATTGGAAAGAGGTAAGCACTGCTTGGTGGGCTGGGGCAGATTCAATCCACGTAGACACCTACAGCGAAGAACCTAACTGCTTTCCAAGTCTTGACAGTCCAAAATACCTTTTCTTTTCCATTCTTCTTATAAAAGAGAACTGTGTTTAAGAGAAATAGTTAATGCACAAGCTAAATGCTGAAGTGGAAGGACAGGGAACTGCTGGAGAGAGTCCAGCGCAGGGCTACAAAGATGATCAAGGGAGTGGAGCATCTCCCTGATCAAGAGCGGGTGAGGGAGCTGGGGCTCTTTAGTTTGCAGAAGAGGAGACTGAGGGGAGACCTCATTCATGTTTATAAATATTTAAAGGGTGAGTGTCACGAGGATGGAGCCAGGCTCTTCTCGGTGACAAACAATGATAGGACAAGGGGTAATGGGCACAAGCTGGAACACAGGAGGTTCCACTGAAATTGGAGAAGAAACTTCTTCTCAGTGAGGGTGACAGAGCACTGGACCAGGCTGCCCAGAGAGGTTGTGGAGTCTCCTTCTCTGCAGACATTCAAAACCTGCCTGGACGCCTTCCTGTGCAACCTCATCTGGGTGTTCCTGCTCCGGCAGGGGGATTGGACTGGGTGAGCTTTTGAGGTCCCTTCCAATCCCGAACGTTCTGTGATTCTGTGATTCTGTGTGAATTCACTATCCTTATTTGCTTTCCCTGCAGCACGCTGCTATGTCAGACCGGGGCAGCGTGGAGAAGCTGCTACACTTACCCAGCCTCTAATAACCATTAGCTGCTACGGCAAATTAGCACTTTTCAGAAGAGTACATTACAATGTGGGAACTACACAGCTGTGTCATCAGATTTTTAGTCAAATCCCTGATGCGTAGTGAATTTAGGCCTTCTGCTTACTTCACTATGATTAATAATCTAAATTCCTCCCACTTACTGCCTGCCTGTATGACCCGCTCACACGAAAACTGTTTAGATCTAATATTTAGAAATAAGGTTTGCTGCAGTAACGGGACAGACAGACATGAATTGGAGAAGTTTTCTTGATACGTTGCTCTGTTCAAAAAGGTTGTTTCTGACAGCTTAATAACGTTCAAATATCCCATGTCTAAAAAGAAATTCAGCTGTAGCTCAAGGAGAATTCAGTCAGCTATGAATAGCTTTGCTGGGTTTTATTATTTTTCTGTGCAAGTGTTCCACCTAATTTAACAGCTTTAATTTATCCAAGTAAGGCCAGGCCCTTGTCACTATGGAAACACCTTCATACTTGACAAAATATTTTCCGAGGAGGAAAGGTTGGCTCACTTCTAGAATTGTTAAGATGAGAGGAGGTGTATTGTATTTCCCAGCATGTGCAGATCAATAGGGAAGGCAGAACTGAAGCAGATTTTCATTTTCTGCACAGGTGGAAAGTGTAGTTTGTTGTTTCTTGGAGAAAATAAGCTCTTCAGGAAGGAGGCTTCACATTCACAGAGCCCCTTGCTCATCGACTGTTACCAGACATGGGACGATTACCACAAAAATCATTGCAGAGATGTTTTGCCATTATAGCTCTAAGCAGTTGATTGTTGTATTTGAAGCCTTCAGATGTAGCTATTATAGACACTTGGTACAAAAGAGTGGAATAAAGAACTGCTCTCTGCAATCAAAGACTTGGAAAGACCAGCAGGACCTTGCTTTGTGTGGTATCTTCACTCATAAAGTAGGCCTGTATCCTCTGACCATTACCACCTCCTAAAAAAAGAGGAAAAAAAACCCCAAAAACTACACCATAAACAACTATCAGAAAGGAGCTCAATACATACAATGACATCTTTCACATCCACACATAAAATGCAGTGTTTTAGGTGATCAAATTTATCTTCTACTTCAGCAACCAAGGAAAAAAACCAGCAAAAAGCAAACAAACCAACCCCAAACCAACTGTTTGTTAAAGAAATGCAGTAGATCAGATTGTTTCATCTCTAAACTGCCCTCTCTTGTTTAGATTCAATTTTAGCCTAAGCTCTTCCTCAGTAACAAGACTGAAAAAAATCAATATTCATACCTCATTTAAGAACAGTTCTGCCCCACTATCTCAGTACCCTCATGCGTTTAGCAGTGAGGCAACACATTTTGGAAGGTATGGCACTGAGTTTCAGTGCTGTCTACAATTATTCACAAACAAAATAAAGATACAGGTCATTTAAAGCTGTTCTTTTTCACTTGCTAAGCTTCTGGATAAGAAGCTGCTAGGAAAAGCATGACAAAAATACAAGACAGCAGTAGGTAGGTAATTAAGTTTTGGGCCTGCATAGAGAAACAGGGCTTACAGTCAAGGATGTCTTTTTATTATGATTTAAGAATACAGGGCAGCATGGAGTTACTTTGACCAGGAAGGTCAAAGCTTAGAACTGATAAAGGATGCATCATCTGAAAGGAAAAAAAGTGTAATAGAGGTATAACAAAAATAGAGCATCATAGACTACAGTAAAAAAAAAAAAAGAATCTAGAAAATTCTCATGAAGGAAAATCAGATCACTGCTTCCACACCTTCCCATTTCTAAAGGTGCAGCTGAGCCTTAGACAAGCACTTAAACGCATTTCTAGCAGTTCAGTAAAATCAGATCTAGTTTGAGGCTATTTTTGTCTCTAACTCAGTGCTTATTTAAGTCAGGAGCAGCGAGGCTGTCACATTGTTCCTGGAATGCACAAGTGGGGGTTATATTTAAAAGTGCCCTTTTTTCCAGGCAGATTTATGCACATCAAGTCGAGATGCTACTGAATATTCACGCTAGCTTTACAAAAGTGCAGTAACAAAGTGTTTTGCGATCTCCATGGCACAGAAAACGCACACTTTTAATACAGTTTTTATTTTACCCATACACAGCTTGCCAGTACACAGCACATCACTGCTGAACAGCAGTACAACTTACTGCCTCTTGAGATGGCTAGAGAGAAAAGGAATTATGTCACAAAAGGGAATAGTGCAACAGTTTTAGGGTTGACAGATTTCCACCTTCCACCCGCCCCCAACATAGAAAGCAAACAGATCGCTGTTAAGTCTAGAATTTTTGGTTGCAACGCTGCTAGATTTATAGAAACATAAGTTATAAAAAGTACAGGGCATAGAAACAGTTTACAAATAAGTTAAATCTCAATTATTTCAGTATTCACATTAGAAAAATATACATTTTATAGAGTCGGTCTTCTCCAGAAGAAAGCATAGACAGTTTTCTAATTTATGGCTCCAATTCACTTTGCGAGAGCAAAATGTCTCCACTTTGGCCGTCCGCTTCCATTGCCAGCAGCGCTTCCACGGTTTCCAGCGGTATCCCCTCGGGTGTGCGAATGTGCATGGTGGTACCGTTGGAATCGGTGACAATGACGATGCCTTCTGCCTGAGACAAAACAGCCGTGTCTGGGTGAGACAGGATAAGCCCGTCCGAAGTCTGAATAAAAATATGTTCGTGTCCCTGAGACAAAAAATCATGGCTCTCATCAGTAATCTCAAAGGCTACGCTTCCATCTACAGTGACTGTATTCTCCAGCTCATGTTGTTCTTCCGTCCCACAGGAAAATTCATGTATGTTTTTAAAGGAGTTTGCATGGTTGACATGAGCTGACAGGGCGGATTCCTGGCCTGGGCTGTGGTGCGGCGCAGTCTGAGCGCTGTGTGGGTAGTTTATTGGCACGACGTTTGCTGAAAAAACCTTTTCGAGTTCCTGCACCTCATCAGCCGTAACAGCGTTATGAAGCTGTCCAGACTGTCCTTTCACTGCAAAATTATGGTTTTCTTCTTGCAGCTTCTGGTATTTCTGACTGTGGCCATTGTCTTCACTCAGTAAGGTGGTGCTCTGTGTGTTCTCGCTCACAAAGTGCGCTTGGACTAACTCGGGTGAGGCATCTGCTTCAGCGGGCAGCACAACTTCAGTGTGCAGCAGAGACGCCTCACCTGCCATCCCTGGTCCCTGCACATTCACAGGTTGGGAATATTCTGTCCTCATTTTCACAGTCTGGGAGAAAGTACCTGAATTGTCAGCGTTGATTCCAACTCCTGAATTATCTTCCTCTGCTGTTGGTAGCGTGCTTCCAGTTGCACAGCAAGCGATGTGCCTGTCCTCCGAAAGCAGCATTTCTCCATTTAATGGATTAAAACCTGAAAAGGTGAAAGAAATATCATTTTGTTGGGCAATCCAAAATTGCACGGCCAAAATATTGTTTTCCAGCAATAGTTTTGGAGGAGAAGTTACACTACTTCCCCCCAAAGCAGCAAACCTGAAGCACCTTACAAAAGTTTCACAGCAATTCCCAATGAGAAAGCCAGCATAAAAATACCTAAGGGATTTCTGAGTGCTGAATTACTATTTCCATACCAAGGGACCTTACATTAGAAGCAGCATTTTTCTGTGGATAATCAAGCTCATCCTGGACTCAGGCACGTCATCAAGTTACTGCATCCCTAATTAGCTGTGCTAATGGTCCCAGGAGCACTTTTGTCCCGTGACAGAATAGGTAAAAACCACTACAAGTTTAGTGAGTTTTGGCAGTTATCTGACCTGGACCAAAAGCCAGGTCACAAACCCAGTGGGTGGCTGCACAATAACTACTAAGCTGCAGTAGCACGAGCTGTCAGTTTTTATTATTATTATTAAAGATCAAAAGGAACAAATGGTTGGTTCTGTTTTTGTTGTTAGGAAAGATAAATCACAGCACAACAAAGGAGCCTAACGCTGCAGAAGGGACCATTTTTAACTTTTTATACTGGCAAAAGCCCTACCAGCAGGTGCAAGGGAAACAAATTTTTTAAAAAACTCAAAAAGACAAAGAGGGGCTAAAAAGAAATGCAACCACTCAAAAACCAGGGTGCAAAATGGTGCTGCAAGTCAAATCTTCAGGCCTGCATCTCCTTGTGGGTACCAGCCAGCCTGCACCAGCTCTCCCCCACCCAGGATCCACAAAGCTCTGGTGTTTCTGCTGTTGCAGAGAGGAAGGACACGCACACTCCTTCCTCTTCCTCTGTTCCCCCACTGCTGACACAGAGGTTGTGGCTCTAGGGGAAGGGGTGGACAGGAAGCATTCAGGAAGCACACAGCAGGGGACTGGACAATTCTCAGTACTGCAGTAACAACGATAACTGGATTACTGTTTACTCAGAATTGAGCTGCTGCTGTGGTCTGCACCATCCATAACTCCCCATACCTCCCCATGAGGCCCTGCCAGTTAAACAGCTGCTTTTGAAGGGCCTGTGAAGCCAGTTAAGAAATGAAACCTTCAGACAAAAAAACTTGCTTGAAAAACAAAGAGATTTGTTCATCTCCACCAACAGAGCAGAACTGAAAGATCTGAAGAGGTTACCATCTTTTTCAAACAGTGCACATGAATTGACACTCTTTTCTTTCACTTCTTGGCTGCTGTAAGCGTTATTCACATCATCCATTACGTCCTCTAACTTGGTCCTTTTGGCTGATGGCAGCAGTTCCTCCCCTGAGCTCTGTCAATACAAGACAGAATTAACTGTCACAGCTGGCAGGACTGGAAAAGATCCCAGAGTGTGGGCACGTCATGCAGTGAACTGATATCCCCTTGAAAACAGGATTTTACACTGAACGTCTTCCTAAAAGGTAAGGATTCAAACACAGCCCTCACTTCAGCAAAATACCACTGATGACTTTTGATATTTGGTGGAAACAATCTGCCTTTGCTGCAACATCAAAGCTCCTCTCTGATCCTTTGTGATCAGCTGTGTGGCAGGAAGCCTGCTGTAAGCTGTGAGAGCTGCGAGCAGCCTGCCCTGCATTGCTTGGGTAATGAAGACAAACTGATCAGCTCTTAAATTTAACCCCAGGCAGAACATCAAAAAGCACCAGTTTTACTTACCCACAACCAGAAACAACTCTGGATTAAATACAAGTAGAACAGTGAAGGGGACAGACCATAGCGATGTGACTTTCCAGAAGAGGAAAGCAGATTAAATCTGCTCAACTGACTTCTTAGGAAGCAAGGAACTGTTTTCATGTGCCTCTACCAGTCAGCAGAGCCACCTTCTCCAACGTCTGAGCCTGCTCGAGGTTTGCCCATCCACTCCAACACAAGTTACTAGAAATTGGGGATCCTTCTCACTGTGGGATCCCCATTTAGTAGCACTTCAACAAAATTCTTTCTTCCCTTCACGAGATACTTGTAAGGCTTCGAGACTCAGTCCTGAATGCTGAATGCCTTCCCAAACAACATTTTTAGTGTGCTAGTTCATATGCTCTGCTATCACATCACAGCAGAGTACTTCTTTACAAGTCAGATACTCCTAGTATGATAATAATAACCAACAGTATAATCTTGTAAGAAATAATTCTGTTGCTTTAGTTTGCCTTAGTATCATTTTTCATTTTCACAAGGGTATTCCATACCTCAGGTAACCGTTTCTGTCCCAGTGTCTCCACAGGCACTTGCTCACTAACCATTTTCGTTAGACATTGTGAACAAGAGTCTGCACCTCGCGTCTTCCCTTCTCCACTGAGTATTCCTGCAATTCCCAGTGATTCAGCAACCTTCAAAAACAGTTATAGGGGAAAAAAAAAATTTAAAGTTAGCCTCTCTGAAGACATAAATGCTGAAACACTGATTTATTTTCTTAAAACTGCCCTAGAACTACCCGGGGTTTAGCCTGACAATCACTCATCCCAGCTCAATGAAGTATCAGACTCCCATGGTTTCTACCTGCCTCCATATTAACAGAACACGACCTTCACTTGAAGGTGAATATTAACAGGCAAACTCAGAATTAGGAGTACAGTGGTTATATATAGAACCCAGAGACAGTTACTAAGAGCAGAGTTGAATAAAGAACACTGCTGAGGCTCTCCATGATTTAAAAAACCATTTAAGTCTTCCTGTTTAAGAGTATCTCTTGGCAGTTAAGGATTTCCCCTGCCCTGCCTTTCCATTCTTGTGCTTCATCCTCATGTAGGTGTGCTACTGTAAACTCAGGCTGAGTTCCTCGGTTTGGGTTTTGGTTTGGCTTTTTGTGGGGTTTTTTGTTTGTTTTTAAAAGCGCATTAATTCTCTAGCACTGAAGAGAAGGAGAGTCCACTTTGGGACTGCCAGCATCAACAGCATCCCTTTATGTGGTGTAACTTAATTTCTCTAAAGGGAAACACCAGTGTTCATTACAAGATATCTAGAAAGGTTTTTAGCACGTACAGTGAACACCATTTATTCTGAAAAAAAAATATTAACCATTGCTAACAGTCCATACAGGACTTCATTTTTCAAACCAGGATTATTACAGGAACCAAAATCTTACCTCCACCAGCCCTACTCTGAGTTTTCCACTGTGCTCCCCTCTCACAGCAGCACCACTTTCAGTGCTGATGGACCTTAAGGTTTTAGAGATGTTGGTGGAGGTAGTACCTAAAAGTGTTTTTGCCAATGGAAACAGCCAAGGGAAAACCAAAAATGTTATATTCAAAGAGCTGGTTTATTTTAAGCAAGGGGAGCATAAACTGATAAGGATCCATGAACAGATCCACGTTAACACCACCAAACCACCACCAGGAAACCAAACCTACGTTGTCCTTCTAGATACAGCTGCCTAAACAGCTCTGAAGAGTCACTGAAGTAACAGTTTGCAGTTTTATTAAATTATTCACTACCTTTCCTATTCGTTAGTACTACTGAGAACTGCACAGATGCGTTCTCTTTGTCCTAATTTTGCAATGAAACTGCTTAACCCTTTAAATAAAGGCAAAATATTTAAAATCCAGCCCCCTCTTTCCTAACCAAACATCAAGATGTACTTTTATTAGAAGTTCATGCTAAACACACCTTGCAATAACGTGCAGCTTCATACCACCCTAGGTATGCCAGGTATCAGCACTGCTAGAATGATTTTTATATATACATAAATTATTATAGATTATTACTACATAGAATTATTATATATATATAAAAATT